GAGATACTGGTTCTAGTGTTGATTTTTTCCGGTATGTAGATATGTTAAATGTTGGTGATCGATCAGATTCAGACCATTTCCCCCTTGAGTTATTTTGCAGGTTTCCTTGTAGCAATCGTTGCCATACATAGTTTAGATTGTGAGGATTATGTCTCTATGAACAGTACATTTTCATGGAACGATTCGAAGGAAAGTATTTTATCACAACACTGAGGGGGTCCTTGCATATTCATGAAAATTCTTTGATGGATAAAATTGAAGCTAATGTAGAGGAGGGAATTACATATTTGTACAGTATGTTCTAGACTCGGCATCCTGTATGAAGAAACAAATTAAATATAATGAAAATAAACATGATGAACCAAAGTTGAATATAGCATGTAGGGCAGCAAGATCTGAATCCAGGACGGCTCTCAGAAGGTATAGGTGTTGTCGCACTGAATACAACAGAAACCGCTACTGTAAACTGAGAAATGTGTATAAAACCTTTTGTAGAAAGTTCAAATACGATCTTAAATTGTCACTGCTAGTCCGACTAAACAGCACTTTACACAGTCCGAAATTATTTTGGAAAACTATACGTTCTCTTCAGAGACATTCTACCCCCAGAGGATCTATATCCCCAACAGAATGGTTACATTATTTCAAGAAGTTATTCTCAAAAGACGATTCCATATATTTGGTAGACAATGAGGTCTTTGAACGTGATAATGATGACATCAGTGAAAATTTTAGTGATGTTGACGTGCTTCTGTTGGAATCGCCTATCACGGAAACGGAAATATTTAATGCTATATCTTGCTTTAAAACTAGTAAATCTGGAGGGGTTGATTGTGTTATAGCTGAAATGCTTAAGTACTCATTACCTGATATTATGCCTTTTCTGGTTAAATGTTTCAATCAGATTTTTGATACAGGTGCTTTTCCTTCTGTCTGGAAGGGGCGGTCAGGTAGCCTAGTGGTTAAAGCGTTCGCTCGTCACGCCGAAGACCCGGGTTCGAATCCCGACATGGGTACAATGTGTGAAGCCCATTTCTGTTGTCCCCCGCCGTGATATGGCTGGAATATTGCTAAAAGCGACGTAAAACCATACTCACTCACTCACTCCTTCTGTCTGGTAGCGTAAACAATCCTGACAATTACTGGGGTATGTCTCTAACTAGTATTCTTGGTAAAGCATTTACCTCTATCATCAATAATAGATCAATACTGTGGTCAAATATGAGAGATTTTGTTGATTTTAAGAATGCATTTGATTCTGTAAATAGAGCTAAATTGTGGAGCTGTTTGAAAAATAAGGGTTTAGGAAGCAAAATGCTTGCCATTGTTAAATCAATGTATGCAAATGTAAAATCATGTGTTCGCAATGGTGATACTAAAAGTGACTTTTTTGATTGTTCGATAGGCTTAAGCCAAGGATGTGTTTTAAGACCTATACTTTTCTCATTTTTTTACAAATGAGTTACCCGGTTATATGTTGATATCATGCACTCTGGTAGACATGGCGTCCAGCTCTTCCCTGACATATTAGAACTTTTCATGCTACTTTTTGCATATGTGAATTTGATGTCTAGTTCTATTATTGGTCTACAGAAGCAGCTTGACATACTTTCGCAATATTCAGATAAATGAAAACTTAGTGTTAATCTTGATAAAACAAATATTGTTATGTTTCATAGAGGTGGATGAGTGGCCACAAGGTAAAGGTAAATGTATTAATTTTGTGAATGAATACAAATACCTTGGCATATTGTTTACCCATACACTGAATCTGAATAAGTCTGTAATTAATCTCACAAACAGAGCAAAGAAAGCTCTGTTACAAGTCCACTCTGTTATCTCTAAGCTTGGAGTTATTTCACCGAAAATGTATTTTATATTATTTGATTCTCAAAAACAACCTATTTTACTATATGGGTCTGAGATAAGGGGTTGTAAAGAGTTCTATACAATTGAAAAGGTTCATCTCCTCGCTTGTAAAAAGTTTTTGAATGTTGGTATGTCAACACCAAGTAATATGGTTTATGGAGAATGCGGGAGATTCCCATTGTACATTATATCTTACACTCGTTACTTGAAGTATTGGTGTAAAATAATAATTATGCCTAAACACAGTTTTCCTAAGAAAGCCTACAACATGCTTGTACACCTTGATAGTCTTGGAAAGAACACGTGGGCTTCTTGTATACGTACATTGCTTTTTACATATGGCTTTGGTTTCATTTGGCTGTCCCAGACAATTTGTAATGCAAATGTTTTCATTTAGTACTTTCACATGTGTGCTGTTGATATGTTTCATCAGAAATGGCATTCAGATATTTACGAAAGTTCAAGAAATGATACTTATCGCCAGTTCATGTCATTGCTTGAACCAGAATCTTATTTAACTTATGGTACAGGAATTTCCGTAACATCATTATTTGTTATAGACTTGGCCTGAATGATCTAAAAATTAAGATAGGGAGGTTTTCATCTATTGAGAAATCCCTAAGGTTATGCCCATTCTGTGACAGTGTTGTCGAAGATGAATACCATTTTATGTTTATTTGCCCTATATACGAAAATCTAATAAACAAGTACTTACCAAAGTGGTCTTTATCTCATTTTAATGCTATAAGACTGTATCCATTACTGTCCTGCTAGGATCTTCTAAATGGCTTTGTACATAATCATGCATTTTTTGTTAATAAATGAATTGTTGCCTCGACTTTGGATCTCATAAAATATTTTATGTAACTCCGTTGTATATGGGCCTGTGACCTTTCATACAATAAAGAATTGAACTGAATTGAATTCAAATGTTTTGAAAAACTGTGATATGGTCAGTGGTTATAATAATCGCTGATCTTTTGTCGATTTTAATTTTGATTCACCATTTCCGATCTCAATGGCCTTTGGTGAGAAATTCACTTGATCTGGACAAGGGAGTAGTATTATGGTTCTGTTCGGATGAAAAAAACCTTCCAAATGGTGTGCTGGTTTTCTTGGGGGAATAAGTCATCGAAGAGCCGGAGTCACAGGAGACTAATCACAATTTTATTTACAAGAGCAATTAACAATGAACAATATCTTAACTTTTGCTGAGGGTGCCACAGAGAGTCGGTACAACCCTCTTGACTGTGGGAGAGAGATCTGCTTGGCTAGAGCGACAAACCCATTCTGCTTAACATTTTGCTTCTGTATGTATTTAACAAAAATTAGAACAATAAAAAGGAATATGATTGGTTGATACACGATGGGGTGTGCCCTATGGTTAATGAATGGATAGACAGAGGGGAATACTTAATCCTGTTAATCCTGTTGGACTGGCAATAATCTTGTTGACATATTTACTGGGTGCTTGGAAAGAGATTATGGTATCACTATAGACGAGCTTGTATGGGGGCTAATCCTTAATGAGTCTAAATTGAAGTAATTGCTGAATGTTATTCTAATATAGGTGATGACAGATTTACTTAAATAAAATAGTTCAAGGCAATCCATAAGACTATGTTGACATATCTTTTGTCTTATTGGATATTATGTCTGGGAGATGGGATCTTGATACCTTAGGCTAGTATTTATCTAAAAGCTTTAAATCTATTAAACTATGTTGACATAACTCTTGTCTTATTGAATAGTATGTCTTGGAGATGTGTTCTTGTTACCTTAGACTAGCATCTATCTAAAAAGCTATGACTGAAACTAGAGAGAGAGAGACTAAGGGAGGTGTGAGTGTTAAGTTGTTTGGTTTGTTTATTAATTATTATTATTTATTTTTAAAAATTTGTTTTGATTATTTGTGGGTTATATTCGGTTAATAAGATCTGTTTTAATTAGGTATTTGCCTGGGGCTTTAAAGTTTTTCTAGAGTTAACTCGGAGTTTAAGTTCAGTGTGTTTTGGAGTGTTGTTCTGTGTGTCTTGTAGTCTGGGCAGTGGATGAGTGCATGTTCTGTTGTTTCTTTTTGAGTGCAGTGTGGGCATGTGCCTGTTGCGTGTATTTTTAGTGTTTGAAGGTGGCTGTTTAGTTTGGTGTGACCTGTTTGTAATTTAGCTATGGCCCTGTCGATTTTTTGGGATGGGTAAAGAATGTTGGCTTTAGTTAGGGTTTTTTTGAGTACTTTTTTTAACTGACAGTTTGAGTTCTTGTATGTTGTTTGCCATTTTTTGGAGATTTTTTGTTTTGTTATGCTTTTAATTTCTGATTTGAAAATTGGCAGATTTAGACTTATTTCTGGGAGTTTTAGCTCCTTGGTCGGCATGCTCATTACCATAAATTCCTACATGTGCAGTTATCCAAACAAATTCTAGCTGTTTGCCTGCTTTAGTTAGTTCATTAGAGCTTTTTAGTATTTGATTAATTAGTTTGGGGCGATTTTTAGTGTTTTTGGTTTTTTGGGCCTGGAGTCCACTGAGGGAGTCTGTGAGGATGAGGATGTTATGCTGGGTTTTTATTTGTGGGTTTTGAAGGGCTGTGGCCATGCCCATGAGTTCGGCCGTAAAGATTGATTGATTATTGGGGAGTCGGTAAGATTTTGTTTGTTTTAGAGATTGAGAGATGTGGACGCCAAAGACGGTATGCTTTGAGGACAGATCAGAGGATCTGTCCTAGTAAATGTGGCACCAATTTGACCATTTCTCATGGATGTATGCTAATGAATTGTTTTTAGCGATGTTTGGATCCTTTTGTTTGTTTAGCATGGCGGCAAGTGTGGTGTCTATTTTAGGGGTTTGGAGTTTTGGTGTTTAAATGTTGGAAGGTTTGGTGTTTTGTCTTAGATTATTTAGTTTGTGTTCATTTAGGTAAATTGTTATTCTTTGTTATATGTGGGTTAGTGTACATGGGTAATCAGGCATATATGTAGTAGAGAGAGCTATATACTCTCAAACCCCTGAGTCTGTACTAGATAGTCTCGAACCTATAGCTCTGACATGATACATTATAAATATATGTTATAAAACTGGGTGAGTAACAATGATGTTGGATATGTTTTGACATAAAATGCTTTTATTTTCCAGGAACATAACTCAAAACTAGAAACGAAGATTGAGATGTTACAAGAAAAGTAAGCTTTTAAGTTCTTTTTACAAATTTGTCATTGTTATATTTATTCTTCACCTAGACATTTTCACACAATCCTGAATTATCTGGCCTTGACGCCTCTTTGAACATTTTCCCAGTTTATCAGGGCATATCATCAGCTTGATTTAAGAGGAAGTGATGCAGGTCTTAGACGCTTACCCCCTTGGTGAAAACCACAGGTAATATATGGTGTTGACATTGAGGAGAAAGGAGTTCAGCAGCTTTCTTTGAACCACCTTTTGTCTTGATGCCATACCTGAAACCTTCCAGGCCGCTATTGTAATGGTGTGTGATACAAGTGGGTGTGGCTGATGGCACAGGGTGGAGGATATTAAGTTTGCTACTTGTGGAAGTAAGATTGGTATTGTAATTGACATCTCCAGCAAGAGAAAGAACTATGCTTGGCTTTGCCATCCAGGTGTGATCATCACAACATCATCAAATAATCTCCCCTGCTCGGTTGTTGGACCTGTATTGGAAGCTACAGCATCACATTGTCATGCCAAGAATCTCTCTCATGTTCTCTCTCCAGAACTTCACCTGAACACTTATGCTTCCTGAAAGGTTGAGACGCTCAAATGGACAGCGCTACAGTCCAAGGTGAATGGTCAAACAAGGGAATGCACATAAATTATCTGGAGATGACGGCTAAATTCCAAGCAATCAGAGCATTGGCTGACTATTACTGTAAATTTTTACTTATCTTGCATTACTCCTTAATGCTTTTACTGCTTCCCTTAAAACAAAAAGAGACATCGCCAAGCAATGGTCCTGGGTGAAAAAGAAAAAGCTGTTTCTATCTCAAGTTCCCCTTTTGTAGGACCATCGCTACTGTAATGTGACCTCAATGTTATGTCACATGAAGTCATATTACCACTTGTCATCGACTAGGAAGGACGTGTCTCGCTTGGCTTTCAATCTTTTGGGTTTATTATGGTGGTTAGCTTCTGCTTCCACACTAAATTTCATTTGCAATGAGTGATGTATTCCTTTCATATTCCTTTCACTTGTTTGTGTATTTATATGTGGGTGTTTTCCCTGTGAAAAGACTCTTGTTGTTTCCACCATTTTGAATTTGTTTGCAATTCTCAGCTAGGTATTTTCATGCTTATGTATATTTAGATACCTGTAGCCTTTGGCATTATATAGAGTTTTCGTGTATTTGATATTATACCCTTTAAAAAATTCATAATGTTTTGCCGAACGTATCGTGTGTGTTTTCATTGGCATGCTCAAGTCCATCTCAACTACAACTTGTCATTGATGTGGTATAAAACCTTTTAAAGATCCTCATCCTCTTGCAAGGAATGCACTCATGTTTGCACTCCAAATTTCAAATGTAAATTGTATTCATCTATCTCTCCATCGAGTTTCTCCATTTATAGACAGGTCACTCACAAACGTGTTTTACAGCAGTCAAGTCGTGTTGTGAGGAACATGTCTCAGTGGCAGGACGCTACCAGCCACCAGTTTCCGGTTATTACCACGGTGATAGTAACTGCCGACATTCACTCTTCTCCATGTTCTATGACCCCAGGCTTAACTGCGCAGCACCGCCTGCCTACCCAGTAGTGCAACAGACGTAAGCGCAGCCTTCTGTAAAATGGATGCAAAACTTAATGCAATCCATGGCACATATGTACCAGGTGCCTGCATGAACATACCAGCCTCCTGCATCAGCTACAATGCTTACACATCCCACTACTTAAGCGCTAGCTCTTACACCTGCATCTAACATTTATCAGACACCAGATGCACGATTTGCTACAAGTATGCCTTTGGTAAGCGCCAACACAACATCTCATACATGGATTTTGTCGCACAGTTCACTCTCACCAAAGCACTCTGCAAGAAGTCGCTCACCTGCAAGGAGAGCGAGTCACCACCTTTCGGATTCACCGGACGTATCAGTCAGCGAGGATGGAGATTCCTCTGTTTAATGGAATACTCACCTTAGCCTAGCGCAAATGCCTGAGTGGGTAGCAGACTGTCTCGGGTCAGAAGCGCCTTCCCCTAATAATGGGGTCGATAAAAAGGATACCATATGGTCACAGCCCACATCCATACCAGAGGATCCTATGCTCAAGGATATGGTTAGGGTGCAAGATGAAGATTGTTTCAAGGCTTGCGCCATCATTCACACCACCAAAATTCAGGAAGGGTGATTTTCCTATTGATGCCTTTGCTGTAGCAGATCGGGCACACGCTTTGGATGAGGACTTACCACGCTTAAAGTCCAAGACACCAGATTCGCTTTCATTAGAACTGAAATCAGGTACATACTAAAACCTTTATCTGCACTAGGGTCTACAACCCATGCAATGGAGCAGGATTTATCAGAATATTATCCGAACCGCACAGACCATTTTCAGACCGGTTGACTTTCAACAATGTCAGATTGACCACATGAGGAACCACCTCCGAGCAGCTCTAGCAGAGATCACCATTATGCAGGCTTAGTTACTGAGCGCTCTCCAACTAGAATTCAGAGTTTAAGCACAAGCTCCTCCGTCAACCATGGTCAGCCATGGTCAGATGATTCACATTCACAAGTGTTATCTAGAACGTCCACTTTACTTCCGCCTCACAACGATGATACTGCTCAGAACCAACATCAATGCATTAGATTCCTTGATCAGTCTCGACCTGCAGGATGTGTACCTGCATATACCTATCTATCCCTCTGACCACAAATTTCTCAGGTTCTATTTTAAATGATAATTTAATATTGTGGTTTATGCAAATTCAACGTATTTTGTTTTCTACTTACTACATGCATGTCAAGTGTATTATAAAATTTATTCTCATGAATGTGTTAATGTTACGCTACAACTATCCCTCGTAAGGTTTCAAATTCCCCCTCTGCGCATGCGCACGGGAGCCTATTTACCCTTAAGCCCCTGTGTCTCTCCATTCCTCTCCCAAAGCTAGAAGGACAACAACACTCGCTACAAAAATTGCCATACCTTTATTGTGACCAACTGCCGCTTGCACAGACCACCTCCTGCATGTCAGCAAGGTACCTAAAACACTGGCAATGGCACCGAAACGGACGTCAAGGAGAACCAGGACAGCTGTTCCGCAACAAGTGAAACTTCCGACAACAGTCCCATGTTGGGTCACAGGTCAGAGCAAGTGCGACAGGCAGAGCCGTTCTTTACGACACAACAGCTGACCTGAGACAGAGGCTGCGCTCCTTCGGTATCACAGTGCCTGCATTGTGGGGAAGAAAGACGATCCTACAACTGTACAAGGAAAATTTTAACGAGAACCACACGGTCAGTGGAGGGGCCAGCGCTGTTCAACATTCCTCCCCCTTGTCTTCATTGTCGTCTGTACATGCTGTTCCTTCCTACGATGTTACTCCCCAGTACAGTCATGTAAACAGCGGGAATTCTGACAGTTCTACTAGCATTCCGGCAACAGTGACAACAGCAGGCAACCAGTTAGCGTCAGCGAATGTGGAATTGATGGGAGTCATGCGAGAAATGAGGGAAAGCGTAAAATTCACCAAGGTAAATATATAAATTTGGCTTCTCTGTTGTTACCATGCCAAGAATCTGGTGAATATAGACTTGCTGAGGAGACAGGTTCATGCAAAAACTTGTTAAAACTTGACCCACGTACCACCAGGAATTTGAACTTTGCCGAATTCAGCAGAGCCTTCAAAGTATTCAAGGATATTTTCTGTGAAGCTTGGCCAAATAGGAGAGAGCAATTGGAACAACATGAACGTACAGTAGCGGAACTCCACACTTTATATGGAGGATATGTACATTATGAATACCACAAGAGATTCGCGGCTCGTGTGGCAGCTCTGGCTGAGAGGGGTACGCACATCACCTGGGGCGTTCCGGACACCAGAATTTGTACCACTTGTACTTCTGGCCTTCGCTGTAGGTCATGTGACCTGTGCAGTAGCATCAGCAATGATTCCGCGACATGTCCATCCATGTTGACGAACACCTGCGAACAGACAGCCTACGACATAGCTTGGGAAAAAAGAATGTTACCTCCACAAGCACTGCAAACAGCTCCACCGATTCACATGGTCGACCAAAAATATGGTACCAGGGACAGGAGGTTTGCAACAATTTTAATGACAGTGGCTGCATGCGTATTCGCTGCAACTCTCTGCATGTGTGCTCCACTTGTTTCGGGAAGAATCACAACAAATTGGTTTGCAAAAAATCCAACACTAATTCCAATAAGGGACATGGAATCAACAAGTGACACTTTGCTGAGGAATTGACACCACTAAATACCAACATCATACAAGAGGAACTAAGGCGTCACCCTGATCAGAACTTTGTAACATACGTGTGTGATGGACTGACTCACGGTTTTCACCCTCTCGTTGCAACAGTGCCCAATTTTACCTGGGAGTGCAAAAACAACCTGAGCGCCCGGAAAGAACCCGATACCGTAACACACCTTGTCCGTCAAGAATTAGATCGGGGCTACATTATTGGACCCTTTTCAGTCACCCCTTACCATGTGTTTCGGGTCAGCCCCCTGGGCATAGCAGAAGGAATATAAAGCCATAAAAAAACGACTGATCCTGGACCTTTCAGCCCCACATGACAACGATGACATTATTAGCATTAAGGTAGGATAGACAAGGACATGTGCTCTTTAACCTACAGGACAATCGTTGATGCCATACGGGAACTGAACTGAGTTGGCAAAGGCGCGAGTATGTGTAAGGTGGATATAAAAGACGCCTTCAAGCAAATCCCCATTCACCCAGATTATTGGACACTGTTCAGATTTAGATGGGACAATCAGTATTACTTCTTCAAGCGCCTAGTGTTTGGATGCCGATCTAGCCCTCGTATCTTTGATTGCATATCAGTAGCCATTGTTTGGATCCTCACAAACAATTACAAGGTCCATTTCGTTTTACACTTGCTGGATGACTTCCTCACCATTGATGAACCAACTACCAAGCTTCTATTACTATGAACACATTAACAGCCACTT